AAAAAAAAAAAAAAAAAAAAAAAAAAAAAAAAAAACAAGCAACACCAAAACACTTTTGAGAACACTTTTGTTCTTTTGAGTGTTTTTAAACACTTTTTGTTTTGAATTGTTGTTTTTTCAGGGGGTCTTCAGTAGGGTCATTACTGATCCACTTAGCAGATGATGAAATCAAGAGATGATCTATGATTAAACTCCACTCCTGTCAGTCTTAACTAAAAATTTATTTTTGAAGGAAGATTGATGAAACATTTTTTAAATTGCAATTCCATGTCAAATACAGCATTCCTATTGGTTGCCAATTTAAAAGACGCAAATAACCCAGCCGAATGCCCCTCGTGCTTCAAAATTGTCTAAAATTTGCCAAATTTGCCCCTCTCATTGCTATTTAATAAAACTTTCGGAATATTTTCGATAATTTTGACGCACTGGGGGCATTACCACTGAAAAATTCATTCAAATACGAGAAAAATTGATCTGCTAGCCAATAAAATTTCCAGTGCCAGCACTGGAATTTTTCCCTGGTCGTCACTTTACGCCCGTTTGCCGAACATAGCAATTTTTGATATGAGAAATCGAATGCAGAACCATACACGCCACACTGGAAAATTTACTGTTTAACATAGTAAAAATTGAGTCACTATAGTAGAAAGCAGTAGTGTAAAAGTAAAATTTGAATTCATTTGAAAACCAAAGTCATTTAACCAAAGTTTGGTTTTCATTTATAAACCAGTCTTAAATCATTGGAAAAAAATACAATTTTTCATAGTAAAAATTCCTACGATTTATGTAATTTCTCGTCGTTCAATAGTAAAAATTCGTTACAAAAAATCAAACCTTTGTAACGTTCTTGAAAATACTATGTTAAATTGTGAAAATAAATGTCAGATCGTAAATATTCGGTTAAAAACAATCGAATTTTCAAGTTTTTCTGGAATGGTTCTCAATTACTATATTTACATGGTAATTTTTAATTTGATATTCTCTCCGTGCAGAAATTACTGAGAACTAAAACGTTTTTCTCCAATTCTAAGAGAAAATTCTTTTGGAATCAGTCAAAATTTCCCTACAATGCGGAACTTTTAACCCTTTAGATCTCAATCATTTTTTCTCTGCTATATTTTTTATTTTTATGCATCTCCCAGTGTAATCCAAAATCCCGCATGGTCAACCACATCACGAGTTCCACTAAACGCTAGGGAGAAACGTATTTGTAAACGCCCGATAAATAACGTGACAATGGGATAATGGAAAAATTGACCCTTAAACACATCCCATTCGTTAGAGCGCAGGCAACGCTCGGAAGGTCGCACCGCGGGTAAATCAGTGTCCCGTAAAAAGTAACTGCAGTGCGAGTAAAGACAATTGTCTGAAAAACATCCACAAAAGAGTTAATAAAATCTCATTAAAGATGACAATTAAAATATCTTCAATTCCAGGGGGATTTTAATGGCACTGGGATGCACAAATGACGTGGAAATGAATCTCGAGGTTCTTTGAAAATTTCTGGATTCTGCGAAGCTGGAAATAACAATAGAAAATCCTTGGGAGGTCAAGGGGCATTGGAATGTACCTAAATGCCTCGTGTATTTTACCCACGCAACGGTTTTACTATGTAACACGCCTACGCATAGGTACTCTATCCTTCAATTTTATTGAACAATGGGGGAAACAAATGGGAAAAGGAAAAGTCAACGTGAGAGGAAAATAATTAGCCAGCTTAAATTTTCGGTATTTGATGACGGACTGGAATTTCTTTAAATTTTTTTTGTTATAATTCAAATGAATAAAAACTAAAATTATAAACTAAAGTATCAGGTTTGAAAGTAATAATTTTTTGTCGCAAAAATTATCACTTTTAAACGAATTGTACAATCAGTTGTATTTAGCCATAGCTTTTCGTCACCGTACGCGAACCTGCGATTGGTCACATGCGCGGGGTTTGTCGCCGTGCTATTTAGGCTCCAGCGTTGCCGAATTCACTTTACACTGAGCGGGCGCGTTTAGCGAGTTTCCGGCAACCTTGCGTAACGGGCGACTTTATTTAGGCCTTAAAGGACCTAAACTGTGTAAGCTAGTTGGAATTTTTTTCAATAGCCTGGGAATATTATAAACATTATCAATGAAGAACATGGCAACACTCGTAAGAAAAACCTGTTTTCTAGGGATGTACCTTAATATGGGAATAAATAATTCATCTGTTGGAAATAAGTTGCTTTCTTCGTGAATTTCGAGGATGACGTTGTTCTCAAAACTTCCATAATTTTTTAGACATTTCAAATGAAAAAATCATTTTTTTTCCATTTTTCCGGTTAGACAGTCAATGGCAATTAAGGATGCCCCAGTGCTTTGTCGATTTTTTCTTCAGAGAAACGCTCTTCAACTTTTGCAGTCAAACATTAAAGCTTTCATTTGACCCCATTTGACCCTAAGTTTTCAGACATTTTACAATGATTTTATTATTTAAACTTTGCAGGTCTGAATTTGAATCTCAATATTGAACCGTTAGAAAATATTTTAAAAATCTGAAAAAAATGAGAAAAATTACTTTTGAAGAAAGATTCATGAAATGATTTAAAAATTGAAATTTTTGAAAATTACGAGGATTTTTTAGAAATAATTTATAAACAATCAATTTTCCACCACAAAAATCATTTGTTTGAAATCGTAACAAATTTATTCATATTCAAAATTTTACCAGAAATCGATTTCATGTCTAAAAAAAGGAGGTTTTCGGAAGCCTAAACAATTTCAACTATTTATTTATAAACAACGAATGTTTAAAAAATAATAATTCTGTGGAAAATGTAATTGGAATCAAACTGTAAAAGATACTTCGATATCCTTTAAAGACAGACGACTACCTGCGGCGTTTCCCTCGTATAGTGAGCAATCTAGAGTTTTAATGAAAATTTATGAATGAAAAAAAAAACTTTTATTATGGAAAACGTTTTCGCTTGTTAAAACTGACCAAAAAATCCGAACTTTTTATACTTAATAATTGGATTACATGGAATTTCATTAGAATTCAAGCGACAGAGGTCAAAATGAATGATTTCTTTCTTGCCTTTTCGTTCTTATTTCAGTGAAGTCCAACTTGAAGTTTAAAATGCAAATAATTTTGTCAAATGCAAAGCTCTTTTGTCACAATGTCGCATTTTAATGGTTGAATTGTCTAGAGTGAGATACAGAGGATAGAAGAGGTACGAGAATGACTGAGCGTTCAAATGACAAATTGTTTCCTGAATGAACGTGAAGTACCTCCACTACTCAACCACTCCATAATACATAACTGTTATCTGTCCCTTTCCTCGTTGAGGCAAGCCGTGGAATTGCTTGGATATGCAAGGACGATGTGGGGTAGGGTAAGTTATTATTCTTGAATTATTTAATTCAATTAGAGACTGGTAACGGGGGAGATAAACATTTATGCTAATTAGTTATCATTTAACGAGGGAATGATTTTCATTATTGGGTTGGTGAACTCAGTTACTGTGAATTCCTTCAGTACAAACACAGACAATTTGCAAACCCCTTGAGAGTTGGTAATCCGGAAGATAAATCTGATGTTATTATAATTTTAACAACACATTTTTTTCACAATTTCAAGTTTAATTCATTGATTTTCTTTTCAATTATCAGTTTATCTTTGAAACGTTTTTATCACAATTCTATTTATTTTCTATACTAATTTGTATTGAAAATGATGTAACTTTGCCGCCTGTTTTTTAAAAGATAATATTAGATAGAAAAAATCCACAGAATTCCATTTTTCTATATAACTTATTCTTTTCATATATCTTCTATAGAATTTACTCGACTCAAATTTTCCAAGTTTTTTCCATTCTATTTTTCTTTTCTTCTCATCAAGAAAATCAAACGAAAACACTTGGAAAATTTGAGCCGAGGAAATTCTATAGAAAATATCTCAATAGAATAAGTTATATAGAAAAATTGAATTCTATTGACTTTTTCTACTGAATATTTTCTATTGAACATTTCAATAGAATCGGCCAAAAACTAACAGAACAGTTCAATAGAAATTCAATAGAATTTTCTAACGAATTCGATAGGTTTTTCTATTAAATTTTTTCGTCCGTGATTGAGCAAGTTTGAAAATTTATACATCAGAGAAATTCAATAGAAAAAATTTCAATATTCAATTTAGAGAGAAAGAGAATAATTAATACTAAAAACATGAAATCTATTGAGTTTGTTTCAAAATGAAGTTGCACGATTTTCAACGGAAATCGGTATAAAATAGGTAGAATTTTTTATAGTATTCACAGAGGAAAATATTGTAGTTTGATCCTCAATTTTGAGAAATCTTAGTTTCAAAAATTTTTAACATTAGCTAAAATTACGCTGACATTTACGAATAAAATATAAACAAAATATAAAATATAAACCTCCCTCAAACGTGGACTTTTCAAAACGGGTTAGTGTGCGTAAAGCGGTTATTTTCCTCACGGCGTGCGGAAAATTCAAGAGCGTGCGAAAAGTGAATTTTCATGCGTAAAGCTTCGCTTTACGCACTCGTGAACAAAAACAGCCACATTACCCCCACTACCGTTCCCAACAGTGAACTCGGCAGGTACCACAATAGTATATTGTGTTACTAGTGCGTAAAGTTCCAGTTTTTCACACCCACGTGTAACACATCTTATTTTTTGTGATACCTGCCGAGTTCAGTGTTCGAAATGATAGTGCGGTAATGTGTTTTTTTTGTGCACGAGTGCGTCAAATTCAAGAGCATGTGTAAAGTGAATTTCGAGTGCGTGCGTAAAAATAACGTACGAGACTTTACGCACGGCGTGCGGAAAACAACTGTTTTACGCACACTAAACCGTTTCGAAAAATGCACTTTTGAGGCAGGTGTCACAAAATAGTGTTTCTTGACTCGCGTTCGGTGACTGGTACCCTTCCAACATCAACGAACACTTTTTGCACGAGTGTCGAACCCTATTTTTCATAACAATGTGTGAAAAGTGAGATTTTACGAACGAGTGATGAAAATTAACTATCCTGACACAAAAAATTATAAATTTTGGATTTGACGAATACAGTGCTTGAAAATTATTTCTTTGGAAATTAGTGACCACATCATTTGCTTTCAGAATTCCTCACTCGTTAAATTTTAGAATGTCGCAAATCTCTAAAAACTCTATTAAACTTTTTTCTATCTTTCATCACAATTCTCACAGAATTCCACTAGAAGCTCATACAATCCATAGGTTTTTCTACTAAAAATTTTCATATGTATCTTTTCATGGCATCTTAAATACAAATTTGTTTCAAACTTGAATTCCCTCCAATTTATCTTCATATTTATGCGCATGCGATCATCGAAAAAGTCGATACTCCCCCTTTTCCGTAGAAATGCCCATTCAATATTTTTACCAGGAATTCACAATATTTGCAAGAGGGTTGAGAGGCACGCAATGTCTTATGGCTTTTACCCGGAACCTTCATCTACTTATTGATTCCCCACTTTTTATTTTCATTTTTTTTTCAATCTCAGGATAAAAAACGGATTCGGTTTTCTACCGCACATTTTTGCTCGGGAGTAAATTTCACTGGGTTTGAACCGTCCAATTTTCCACGAGCTACTTTTAATTGTCGCTAATAGTTTCGTACTCATTACGCACCGTCTAAGAGGTATCATCTAACATACTTAACGAACGAGGAATAGGTAACTCGTAAACGAAGTCGCAAAATCATTAGGACTGTGCACTAAACTACTGCTAAAATATGTGACCTATAAGTGGGGAATTGCGTCACATACCCGTTACATATATCTCTCTCTCGGTCTTTTCAATGCGCAGGGTACAGACATGTGATAAAAACGTGATAATTATATCTGTTATGACGAAATATTTCTCGAGATGAATTAAAATCGGACGAAAATAAAATTCGAGAAATTTGAAAAAAGAAAAAAAAATCATAAATTTTGAATTTTTCTCGATTGTTGTGCGATGAGCCTACGAAATTGAAGTGCTCAGTTTGAAATTTCTTCCAGATAAAACTCTTCGTTTGAATTTTTTTCTTCATTTCAACAGTTTTTCATTGGAAATTAATTCAATTCAGTAGAAAATATTTTATAGAACAAATTAGTGAAATTTCATTTTTCGATATTTCTTCTATTAAGACATTTTTTATAGCAATTCCGCGCCATGAATTTTCTAAGTTTTTTTACTCTTTTTTTCTACTGTTTTTATAAAATAAAATCAAACAAAAATCTTAGGAATAGAATATTTTCCACTGAATATTTTTAGATTTTCATATTTTCATATTTATTTTTCAAATTCCTACACCATCTTTAAATTTTCATTCTCATGTTATAATGGAATAAATAATAATTTTGCCTTATGGAGGGAGGTATCGAATGAGAAGTTCCGTACGCTTACGTGAACATCCATAATCTCTTTATATTATAAAAATCCAAATCGACTTCTGGCGATGAAAATTTGATACTCGAAATTAAGACTCCAAAATTAAGGGTCAAAATAAGGGTCACGAGGGTTATAATGAGGGTTAGAATAAGGGTCACAAGAATTAAGTGTCACAAGGGTCAGAATGAGGGTCCAAATAAGGGTCACGGGGATTAAAATAACGGTCAGAATTAGGGTCATGGAGGTCATATGTCGGTCATATGGGGGTTGGCGAGCCCCCTAGAAATATATGACATGATTCAAAGAGGTTTAACCCTTGAGTAGTCGCAGCTCTTCACCGAACATTGTTGGTCGCGCGATGGGCGATTCGCAACCCCGTCTATTTTACGATTTTCGTAAAAAAAAAGTAGAAAAAAATTGTTTATTTGTAGTTAATGTGTAATTTTAAACCTTCAAGGAACAAGAAATGGAGATATCAAATAAGAACAGTGGACGGATAATCCTATAATTCAATTTCATTCGGTACAAAATTTTGACATTTAGAGGTTAAACACGGGGATTTTCTACGCGTCGAGCTTTCAGAAGATTTTTGTAATTGATTGATGAGAGTATGGACCAAAAAAAAATTGTCAATGCGTTCGGTTTAGTTGAGAATAAGAATACAAATTTTTATAAATTTTTCAGTTACAGTGTTTTCATGTGAGAAAAAAATAGAAAAATTGCGATTCCTCCATAGTGCGACCACTCAAGGAGTAAATTCATTAGCGGTTACCCACCCACAATTTTAAAAAATAATCTAGTAGGGTTCGTGGTTGTATACTGAAATCCCCTTTTCAATAGAATCGGCCAAAAACTAATAGAAAATTCAACAGAAATCGAATACAATTTTCTAACGAATTCGCAAGGTTTTTTAATAAAATATTGTCGGACGTTGTGTAATGTTTCCTGCAACACACGGCATACCTAACTGTACATTTTAATGTGTGCCATGTCATGTGAGTACCATAAAAATAACCACCACAGAATGACAATACATCTCATGTCTGAAACAATGAATAACAACTCGCACTGTGCAATGAGCCCGTCCAAAGAATCGTAGTCGTGGGATTCCCAGACGAATTTGATCATCTGGGCAACTGCCTTACCGATTGTCGAAGTGATATTTTATTCTATTTTTCCATCCATCGGCTAAGCGGAATTTTTTTAATGTGCAGGTGTAATTCATTTAAAAAAATTGGAATTGTTTCCGGTTTTCATAATGTGAATGCAACATTTTGCGTCCCCTAATTGCGTCGCGGATAAGCGATGAGAAAATTATTATCAATAGACGTTCCAAAGAATTCAGAGAAAATAGTATAGAGACGCACAAAATGGACCATTTTTTAGCTTGAATAACTCAAGAACGGTAATGCCTTATTTTAAGATTTCAAATGTCTTAGAATAAAAGTTTCAAAAGTCTTACGTTGAGAGTTTCGAAAGGGTCAATTTGAGAGTTGAGACTTTTCAATTCGTCAAGTTAAGGAATTTATGGTGTTGTCTCGAGAGAAAAAAACACTTTTCCGCACTCGTATATCGAAATACACTAATTTCAATCATCAAAAAAGTTGCACTGTTAGAAATTTTTCGAAATTTTATGGAAAATATGGTAGCAATTCTCGTGAGAGTGACATTGAATCCGATTCAGGGGAAAAATGGTTAGGAAATTTCAAGATTTAGGTAGAATTGGAAAAGAAGAAAATTTCACAGCTTGACGGAATTTTCAATGGAACATAAAACAAAATGACATGAATTTTCAAACTTTCCCTGAATTTTCCTGATTTTTCTGAATTTTCCCGGAATAATTGCACTGAAAAATCAAGTGTTTTATTGATTTTTAGATCATCAAACATAAAATCACCGGAATATTTCATTTTTCAATGACAAGATTTCTTGACATTTCAGTGAAAAAGCATGATTAAAATTTCTAAAATTTGACACGGAAAATTGAGACGAAAATTTTCAATAGTGTGGTTTCATTTTTCCCATCAACTCAAAACTAACAAATAAAAAAAAAATCATGAAAATCATCCTCCGGAAAATTCCTAAAAATCCTCAATTCCCTTGGAATGAACCATCGGAGCAATTTCAAAAATCTCACCTTCACTACTAGTTTCCTCCTTCTCCGCTAGATATCGCCACCGAACCCTTCCACCTCCCTAAAAAAATCAAAACCCAAAAGCCCACTCATTCATTCGTAATTCCAGATAAAAAAACCCAGACACCCCCAACAATGACTCCGTCAATAAAACTGACTGCCTCTTCCAATAATCGTCAACGCGCCTCAAATAATCAAAAATCCCCCCAATCCGCTGTTCGCCAATCAACCCACCCCGCCCAATCGGATCATTCTCCAGTCGCAGCTCAACTCCCTCGCGCTCTCCCTCGCTCACTCCACATATCCATCCATAAAATTATCTAAACTCCGCTCCAAACCGCCCAAGGTGGGGGTAATAACTGTTGACTCGCCACAGCTTGACGCACCGAGCATTTTCTTTAGTTTGTTTTTCCATTTGTAATCGTCACGTCGTAAAACCCCGTCGTTATCGAGTCCTCCCCGCGTCATCGTCAATCGCGCAATCGAAATCGAAGCAAAAGTCAGTGCATCATCCGAGTGCGCGTGCCGGGTGCCTCGGTAGTATCCTCGAGGAGCAATAACAATTCGGTGAGCGTCAGAGGAGTGAACAAAACGAGAAATAATTTTCCAAGTGGAGTGGGAAAATCGTTTTAACCTATTTGTGGACATTACGAGTGTTCAAGCCAGGGTTAACCTTCAAATTACAGCAGCTGACACTCCTAGGCCAGGGATACCGTGGTTTCCGTGGAATAAGGTGATTTAATTCATCAGATAATAAAATATTGAAGGCAGTCGTGTGTGCAGTGCAAGGGAATAACGGCTCTATTGCTTCCTGGGCGTTCACAGTTATTCCCACAATTTTATTCTTAATTAGAGTGAATGAAAGTGCAAGTGACGGGGTCAATGATTATTTACGGCTCTCTGATACCCTCGTACATTATTGTTTGGGAGGAGGGGAATTCTTAGAAGTTGTAAAGTATGGGTTGCAAACAGAATAGAAATCGTGTATTTTTCGGTTCTTGAATGTTTCTTTTGATAATGACGGGTTTTAGAGGGAACTTTGGAGAGACTTTTTTGCGGGGAATTTTATCAGCTGTGGGAAATGTCTTTTGAGGTTTTTTGATGGAGTCAACGATTAAATAGATAATTTTGTGATTGGTAAAACGATTTTTGAGCAATTAAAAATCGGAAAAAGTTGAGTTTGTTTTGGTAATTAAGGAATTGTTTCCCGTTTGGGGGAGATTGCAAACCATCGAACATAATTTTGGAAGAGGACGAAATTCATAAGAAAAAGGAGGTAATTTGATAATTAAGAAGACGATTCTTATTAGGTTCGAATTGTCTCGCGATCGAGTGGTTTCAAGAGACAAAAAACTCAGAAATTCCTAATTGTAGAGAATAAAATTTGACAGAAAAGAAATCTTTTGATATTTCCTCCCAAAGTTTACTAATTGACGAGGTAATTTGATGATCAATCAGACGTTTTTTACCAATCAAAAGTCAAACAAAATCATACTTGGATTTTCATTATGCGATTGTCTCAGGAGTGAGTTGTTGGAGGAAAAAATCTAAAAAGACCTTTTTCGCAGATAACACAGTTTTCTATTACAATTTTCGTTTGACATTTTCTCCTGAACCCACTCATTAACGAGATAATTTGATGATTAATAGGGCGTTCTTTATCAATCAAAAGTGAAACAAAATTAAAAATGTAGGGGAGGTTGGGGTAAAACGGACACTTGACTTTTTCTAAAATGCTAATGAGGGGTTGAAATGTTGATAAAATATAATATTCTTTTTCTCAATACAAAGAACAATTCTTTCCCTTCGTGCCGAGCCTGAACTGACCTCAATTGATCAATTTGTTTCTGAGTTATGAATAATAAAAAAAAAGTCTAAAGTGTCCATTTTACCCCACCCTCCCCTACATGAATTTATCAAAACTAACAAAAAAGATAACAATTTTTTTTTATCCAAAAAAGACAAGCAAAGCCAAACTGATATTCACCCAAACGTTTGTAAATAACCCACTATAGATTGCCTCCTGAATGAAAGAAAAGTCAAACAAAATCATAGTTGCATTTTCATTATGCAATTATCTCAGGAGTGAGTTGTTGTAGGAAAAAATGTCAAAAGACCTTTTTTGTGGACAAGAGAATTTTCTATCAACAATTTCTTTTCACACTTTCTTCTAAACCCACTCATTAACGAGATAATTCGATGATTAATGAGACGATTTTTATCAATTAACAGTAAAAAAAATCAAACTAAATTCCGCAAGAAAATCTTGAAAGACCTTTTTCATAGCAGAGAAAATTTCCCTCAAAAAAACTCTGACAATATTTCACAGTCACTCATTACCGAGATAATTGGAGAAAAAAACAAGAACGATAAATTTGAGTTATGACGTATTATATCACTTTCACTGCAGACTTGTTGAATTGCTTTATTTTCCTCTCGATTCATCAAATAAAAGCATTCTCTCATTCTGCCGAGTTGGTGTTATTTTTAGAGCCGTTCAGTTGCTCCTTTTTTTTCAAGGTCGTAGATATTTTTTGTTTTAGGTTTAGTTATGAGTATAGTGATTTTATTTTTAAGTTTTTATTGGCTGACTTGTGAAAGATGCTCGAGTGTTGTTATGCAAGTGTTGGCTATGTGTGAGTGCAACCTGTTTTGTTTAGGTATTGAGAGTTGTGAGGTTTTCACAGGGACTCGGAGTGCTGGTGATAAGGAATTATTGGGGATCGCCGGGGGAAGATGTGATGCGACTGCTAAGAAGCTTCGTCTCATGGCTGAGATGCATTACACGTCAATACCACGAGATCTGTCTGGCGAGCTTGTTTTACTCAAGAAAATATCGAAGGTTTGTTTGTTATTGAGTTGAAATGTTCATTGTTGTTCATAGCATTTGGGAAGAGGTTAATTAATTCTGCCTTGTGGTTTTGAATTTTTCCTAATTTCAAGTTATTCGTTGAAAAATCTCAGTTTTCGAGAATTTTATAATTTAGCTGTGGATCATTTTGGGAAATGTCGAGGAACATTTTTCAATGCACTAGTTGGTAAACTTCATTTTAACTTCATGTCCATTGAAAACGCCTCTTTTTGAAGTGATATACTATTATGGTGAGTTTTGGGGGCTACGAAAAAGTGTTTTGACTTTTTTCTCTAACAATAATCGTCCAGAGATATCGGTGAGCAAAACTCAGTGCAAGACTTCAAACTTAGAAAGTTTTCTTCAATTCATTTGTGGAATATTTGTCGCGTATTTTTAGAACGAGTACGTTTAAGGATATTCAAGTCCTTTGGGTATTTTTTTCTCCAGTGAAATGCTTTTCTATTTTTGTAGTCGAACATCATTTCGAGAGTTGCCATTTGAGCCCCATTTGACCTTAAGTTTCCGGACATTTTACAATGATTATGATTTCAAGCTGTCCTTCAGTTGACTTCACTCTTAAATTTTTAATTATCTTAGTAATCATCAATTTAAATATTCAAATTCTGAACTATTTTATTAATCAAAAATTTAGGTAGGAAGATTGCCGATTATTTAGTCAATTGGTAATCCCTTTTAAGAAATTGGAATTATTTACTTAATGGAAAATTCACAGTCCCATATTGTCAAATATTTCATTCATCATCAATCGCAAATTTAAATTATTAATATCACACTATTTTTATATTTTGATGAGAATATTTAAACCGTTATCAATGTACGTCGCAAATTTCTTTAATATTGATGAAATTTAATGTTAAATAAACTTTGCAAGCCTGAATTTTAATCTCGATATCGAACCGTTAGAAAATATTTTAAAAATTTGAAGAAAAAAAAATAAAAAGTTTTCTTTTGGAGGGAGATTGATGAATTGATTAGATATTAATAATAAATCTTAATTATTTAGTTTTCGAACATTTTAGAATGATTTTATTATTTAAACTTTGCAGGTTCGAATTTAAATCTCGATATTGAATCGCTAGAAAACATTTTAAACATCTGAAAAATGAAAAATTAGAAAGTTTACTTTGGAGAAAGATTGATAAAATAATTAAAAAATTGCAATTTTTGGAAATTACGAACATGTTCTATAAATTTATTCACATAACAAATTTATTCACATACAAAATTTTACCATAAATTGATTTCATGCCTGAAAAAATAAGGTATCCAAAAGTTTAAATAATTTCAATTATTTATGTATCGATACCGAATGTTTAAAAAATAATAATTCTGTGCAAAATATATTTTGAATAACCCTGAATATCTATGATTTAAATTTTTTTAAAAAAATTTCTCACCTAATTTAATTGACAAATTTGATTATTTAAAATGGTTGAATCTATCGTGCGGTCTGTACCAAACTGTAAAAGAAACTTGGATATCCTTAAAAAAGAAAGTTGAGAATTCCTTTCTTGTGAAGATTTTTATAAACTACGAAAACTTCGTTTGACAATTTTTCGCTGAATGTATTATTATTTGTTAAATATCTGAAGTATTATTTGTTAAATATCTTTAGAACGAAAAGATTTTCAGAACAATGTTAGAAAACCTTTCTTGGGAAACATTTTATCGTCTCCGAAAATCTTTGACACTTGTCTTTAGACACAATAGCTTCAGAGGTATTTGAAGAAAGATTTCCCAAAAATTTGAACTTTGAAATTTTTCCGAAATACACTTAGGAAGTATTCTAAAAATCTCAGTTGTTGAGCTGTAATTTTATAATTTTGTTGCGGACTGTTTTCTGAAATGTCGAGGAACTATTTTTGACGCACTAATTCACAAATGCCATTTTAACGAGTATAATTAATTTTGTATTAACTTCAGTTCCGGGACATGTTTTTATTTAAGTGATTGTCAAGTTTCTGAGCTTGGGAAGTATGCAATGCTAATTCCCAGATGACGAATCATGAGGAGCTGTACAGAAAATGCCATTTCCAAGTGATATATTATTATGGTAAATTCTGGACTACAAAAAATCTGTTATTTTTCGTTTAATATAATCGTTTCGGAGATATCTGTGAGCAAAACTCGCTTCAAGACTTCAAACCTGGAAATTTTTTCTTCAATTCACACGTGAAATATTTGTCGAATATCTTCAGAACGAGTAAATTTAAAGAACAATGGTGAGAAGCCTTTCTTGTGAAGATTTTTGTAAAGAGATTTGGAAATAACTCACTTCAAGAATTCAAGCTTAGGAATTTAGTGTCTGGAGAAGTTAAGCCTCTACGATTCTCCCTATTTACTCAAGGATGAAGTTCCCAAACATAGATGGATATATTGTGATCCGATCCTTGCTCTAAATAAATCGAAAGGGATAAGATTCAGAATTGATTTTTCATGAACCTCTGTTATGTACAATTTTTTTGTTTTTTCGTAGACCCTCTCGGGTTTTTACGGTTTATTCCCTTCCTACCCCCAATCCCCTGGACCGCATTCGTCAAGGGCCAAGGAAAAATCTCACTTGAGGGAAAAACCTTGCCCAGGTACAGTCGCCTCTTGCAAGACTTCCTCTCGAACAATGAATTTGTGAAAATTAGAGCGTTAAAAAATCATTTTGCCAAATAAATCGACATAATAAATTTGGAAGATCTAGGAAAAATGTGAAAAAAAATCAAGAGTGATCCCGTGATTTGTTACACTTAATTATATATTCAAGCTGAAAGATGTCATGTTTTTCTCAACATTTTATATATGGTACACAGCCCGGAGTTTCGAAAAAAAATGTGAAAATCCAACTACTTATGATGTTTTTGGTGGATATTTTCACTGATAGGGCTTCAGGACACTTCAAAATGAGATGTCAAATTTGTTCAAAGTTTTGTTAGGCTTCACTGCCGTGCATTGAGGCTTTACGGCGCTCATACAGTTAAAAATTTTTGACTGAAATTTTCTGTACACTTTGAAAAATTTTGTCGAATTTAATTACCACTGAAATTTCGAGGAATTTTGTCATTGAAAATTTGGAATTTCGTAAAAAATTACAGAGAACTGTAAATTTCAGTTCCATTTTCCCCTAAAAATGAATAGAAAACCAGAAAATGAACTTTCAGGACCGTGACACTGAATGCGATTTAGAGGGAAAAATCATGAGATTTCAGATTTCACTGAAAATTCAATATAATTTGGTTCAATTCAATATAATTCAAATAAATTAAGGAATTCTCGTCTTTATGCTGCTTAAAATTCGGGAATTTTACAGAATTTTCAGTGAAACCACAAATTTCATGATTTTCATTCTCCTAAATCGTATTCAGTGTCACTGTCCTGAAAATTAATAGTCACTGTCCGTGAAATTTCATTTTTTTTTGACCAAGGGATTGTTAAAATTTACTTTTATTACGTATCATCAGTTCCCTTCTCCTCATTCGCATTTGCTTGACAATTTGTGATTTATTTAATAATTTTAACATTTATCATTTGCTTTTGATTTACGTTTTTGAATGAAGTTTGATACTTTGGACTGTCGGGATAAAACCTTTGCCAATGATACTAACTCTCCCAGTGGTCCCCTGTTGCGTGGTGACATGAGCCAAGGAGGAGAGAGGTGCCATAAGGAACGCAAGGAACACCGTGACAAGTGTAGAGCGTACAGAAAGTACTCGGAATTGACGCCACCGAGTCACCACAGCTACGACAATTATGGGTAATTTATTATTTCATTGCTCGATGGAATGATTTTTCTACTCTGGAATTTATACGAGAGTTAATAAGACGTATCTTATCGTTCTGATTCAATAATTGTGGGGAGAGAAAAATGTAAGATAATTTTGGAGATTGTTTGTGTTGATTCCCCTCGTAGTCGACGGATTAAGTAGGAGAATGAGTTTTTTTCGTGTTTATTATTGGAATGCTGGGAATGTTCTCGATGTAGAGTACTTTGAAGGAGTTATTTTTAAGATTTGCGCAGTTGAAAAATTGAACTTCTCGATATTGTTTTCAGCTTCTATAATTTATTCAATGGTAAAATGATGAAATGAGAAGAATCTGTTGCAGCTTGGGATCATTTACTTGCTCAATTTGTTAAAATTGAAGGAGATGGCGAAATTTTGGTAAAGATTTTCTAAAGAAAACAAGTTTTCTTTAGAAGTACTTCTTTACTTGTATCAAGAAATTCGTGGCTTGAAAATTACCAAGCGCACAATGTCTCGCACTAAGAAAAAAAATCTTACGCCAAGAAATTTTATACTTGTCCGAAAGATGAGGATAATTTCGCATCAAGAACACGAGTTCTCACATTAATTAAAGTAGTTTTTGCATTGAAATATTTTAGAATTGAGGCTAATATAACCTATTAAATGAATTAATTTAATTTTACTCGGTTTGAGAAATCGCTTTCTTGTCAGCAAGAAGTTGTCCTCGTCATTAGGACAAGTACAAAATTACTTGACGAAAGTTTTCATTTTCTTAGTGCAAAATAAAATAATACTCTTGAAAATTTTCAAGTGAGAAGTTTTTGGATATAAGTAAAGACGTATTTCTCAAAAACCTTTGTTTTTGTCAATGTAAAGTGCACTGAGAGAAATACAGTAGAGTTCTCAAACAAGTCTTACTCGGGCGAAAAAAATCGGGGTGGGAAGGGCAAAATGGGAAATATTGAGATCTTTTCCAATTGTCAATACCTTCATTTATAAGTGAAGGTATTGACAACTAGAGAAGATCACAAAACGTCCCATTTTGCCCAACTCTCCCCTAGTTTATTAGAAATTGTCAAAAAAGAATTTTATTATTTTTTTGGTGATTTTCAATTAATGATTTTGTTAGCCCAAACAAAACTTGTTTGAGAACTTGTTCGTTTTTCTCTCCGTATGAGAGCAAGAAAAAAACGTTGCGATAATAATTTTCATCGGGGTTGATAGAAGATATCTGTTAAAAATGATCTTGAAGTTGAATTAATTCATCTGGTTTAGACATTTTGCTGGTGGATTTGACGAGCTCTGGGCTTTTATTGATAGTGAAATATATTTTCTTTACTTCCAAAAATCTAGTTCTAGTCAATGTACGGTCACCACAAAAACAAACGCAAAAACTCTAACAAAAAAACTTTCCGAATTTCCCTGTACGTACCTCATGGGTCTCTTCCTCAGTAGGGCAGTTTATTTAACCCTATATGAGTCACCTCATGAAGGAAAGCGCTTAATTAATTAATTAATTTTAATAAATAATTAATTTTAATAAACAATTAATTTTAATTAATAATTAATTTTAATTAATAATTGATTTTTCATTGAAATCCTCACAAATTTTGACCAGAAAACCCTAGAAATTTTACCCTAACAGCACTAGAATTTTTCATAGGTGGTCGATTGCGATTTTTTCCAGTAGTCACGCTCGAATTTTTTTAAAGAATTTCTCTTCGTGCAGTCACTTACAAATTGAAAATTTTCGTATTCAGGGATTAAATCAGGGCTCGAGAACAGTGACTCCCCTCCATTTCACCTCCCCGAAGAAATACAGGCGAAACACCTTAAAGGGAAATGGAATCCCTGTGTCTATGTGAACTTTTAGTATTGTTTTCTCCTACAATTATTAATTTTATTTCATGAAACTACTTTATCGACTCGATCATTACATTGTTGAGTCAATGAAGTAGCTTCATAAATCAAACATGATGCACTCAATCTCGTAAAAATTATCTTTAATTTCTTGATCCTCGCCCAGCAAAATGAACCCATAAACAGACTTTTTCTTTTTTGTTAGCACCAACTATTAGATTCATAAAATGTAAATACTTGGCTGAAGGCCCCCGGGCGATGGCCAGTTATAAGTTCCAAGGAACTTGCGAAGAAAATGGTACAGCTACAGGTTGCAGAGATTTCGTTAAAAATAAATAAAATAACACAACATAATTGCAGAAGAAAACACAATTATTAATTTTTATCTACAAAATTACTTAATTGACTCGATCTGCATTGTTGAGTCAATGAAGTAGCTTCATAAATAAATAATAATCTTTGCAGGGGAAAATACAATTCTAAAAGTTCATATAGACACAGGGGTTCCGTTTCCCCTTAAGGGGTATCAGAATGCCGCCAATTTTCCAAATTTTTGAACAAATTTCCTGCTGAAAGTTATCGATATTTTTACAAATCAAAGCACATTAATCTCCAGGAAGCGATGATAAAGATCAATGTACTTTGGATTAAAAAAATATTGATAACTTTGAGCAGGAAATTTCTTTGAAAATTTCATGAAAAGAGTGGCCTTCTGTTACCCCTTAAATAAAATGGCCCGTAGCGCGACGTTGCCGGAACCTCGCTAAACGCGCCCGGGCAGTGTAGAGTGAATTCGGCAACGCTGAAGTCTGAATAACACGCTAGCGAATCCCCTCGGAGGTGACCAATGCAGGTTCACGTATGATGACAAGACTAGGTTTAACCCTAAATTGGTCACCCTATGAGCGAAACCGCGCAACGCGTCGTTGTTTTCTAATTACAATTCACTGGTTAACTGAAAATTTTTAAAAAATTTTGACTTTGTCGATTGAAGTGTCTAAAAAATTATAGTAATTTTTAGAACAACATATTTCCCAGAATTCCTGAAGAAAACAAATTATTTCGGACAGATGAATTATTTTTTCTCGTGTTAAATGAAGTGGCCCATGTCGCGACGTTGCCGGAAACTCGCTAAACGCAATCGGTCATTGTAGAGTGAATCCGGCAACGCTGAAGTCTGAATAACACGGTGGTGAATCCCCGCGGAAGTGACCAATCGCAGGGTCGCGTAAGGTGACAAGACTAGGCTTAATCTATTAAATCCAAATTTTGGAAAGTTTTTCATCTCAAAGTTTTCGTTTTTTTTGTGGTAGTGCATGGAAGGAGACTTTAGGTCATGTTCAATGAATGAATATTGTATATTTTCTTCAGTAATTCAGTGGCCAGCAAGTCAAATTCCTTGCCCGGGAGATGCAATGCACCTGCCCAGGGCTCGGGGCCTCTCGTGGCGACTGGAATTCCAGCGGAGGACCTGGCGAGTCAGCTGACGATCCTAGATGTCGGGGTTTTCAAGGCAATCCGGCCCGAGGAGCTGTCCAGCTGTTCCTGGAATAAGAAAAACAAACTTCTGGTGGCGCCGAATGTCGTCGCTTTCACCAGGAGATTTAATCACGTAGGTTTTATTTGGATTTGGGTCATTATTGCATTATGAGTTTCTTATTATCTTGTTAGAGAGTGGATTATTGGGGAAATTATGAAAGCGGATTTTCGATCGAGCATTCGGTGAGCTTCAAAAAAAGGTCATGACATTTTGCTTTAAAGTGGTATAAGCGTAACTTGAATTTTGAAGATTAAAATCTGAGATAAATTCTGAATGAAAGTTAATATTAATGAAAAGTTAATATGAACGTTTTTAAAAACTGTAAAGAATTGTCGGGAAACTAGATTGGATTCACAATCGTGTTTTTTACAATTAATAATAAATTCAATAATTAACAGTGATAATTAGTGTATAACAAATATAACAAATGATTTTATAATAAAATGTCGGGAAATTTTCTTCCGTTGCTGATAATATTTTTTGCATGGAAGTATGTTAATATCTTATGAGAACATCAAATGTTACATCAAAACGAGAAAATCAATAATTTCGAATCTTTTGGTTGTAAATTCTTCGACACCTCATGGAAAATTTTCCTCTGTTTTTCATCTAAATTTCATTATTTATTTATAAACATAACATCTTGTTAGAAATACTCATTAGTTGGAAAAAGTAATTTGAGGCTTGAATTATTTCGAAATTTTTTCACCTAGTGAATTCTCACATAATTTGAATAGATTATTTGAATTCCTAAAAATGATAATGTCCTATGTTAACTATAATAATTCCTAAGAAATTCAATATCCTATAAAAATCGCAAACGACCATCTATGAAAAATTCTACTACTGTTAGGGTAAAATTTCTAGGGTTTTCTGGTCAAAATTTGTGAAAAACCTAGATACAAAATAATTCCTAAAAACATTCGTCCTATTCAGGTGAGCTTCTGGACAGTCCAAGAAATTCTAAACTTCTCAACCCCGAAGCAGCGTTCAGAAATGATCGCCCACTTTATTCGTGTCGCAAAGAAATTGTACGACTTGAATAATATGCACTCATTATTCGCTATCATATCCGGTCTCCAAAGTGCTCCGATATATAGGTAACTGAGTCACACCATTGGCATCCGGAATTTCTATGTAGCTAGTCTAAACGATTCGTAGCGTCATAATTATTTTTGGATATTACAGATTGAATAAAACGTGGGCCTGCCTCTCGAAAAAGGATAAGTGCACGTTCGATAAGCTTGCCGAGGTCTTCAGTGATAAGAATAATTGGATGAATCTCAGGGCGCACATGGAGACGCTCAGATTACCTTGCATTCCTTACTTGGGACTTTTTCTTACTGATCTTGTATATATTGATATGGCTCATCCCTCTTCTAAGGTGAATTATTTTATAATTAATCTTCGCCCGGTGGCCTGGCGTAGTGGTTAAGGCCGTTGCCTCACAACGGATAGGTTCCAGGTTCGATTCCTGGCCGGGTAGAATGGTGAGATCTAACCATTTTTAAAGTCTTGATCAATCGCCATATAGTCTCATCAGACTCGAAGCGATATAAAATAAGCATAAAAAAAAAAAAATAAAAAAAAAAATTAATCTTCAAATTTAAAACTATTCATCATTTGTCGCCTGATTGAAAATAATTAATTCGTTAATTCAATTGATGGATTCAGAGAACAATTTCAAGGAAAATTTTTTGTGGCCATAAAAATCGTCAATAGAAATAGATTTTACAAATTTTGTTTTTGTAATTTTATTAATTAATCATATCATTTAATAATTAACCGTTATAATCAGTAAATGGGTGATTTTATGGTCTACTCTATTCAAATATTTCCAAATTAAAAACTATTTATCATTTGTCAACTAATTGACAATAATTAATTCATTCATTCAATTGATGGATTCAGAGAAAAATTTCAAGGACATTTTTTTGGCCCCAAAAATCTTCAGTAGAAAAGAATTTACAATTGTATTTCGTGTAGTTTCACTAATTAACAATATAATTCTATAATTCACGGTTACAATCAGTGAATTAATGATTTTATGGTCAACATAAGGTTTATTGATTTCTCGAAATTCTTCTTTTGAAAGATATTTGCAAAATTATGAAAAAAATAGAGTTATCTGGTTCTTATGATTTTATTCTTGTCATTGTACAATTATGAGTGTTCATTCATCTTTCTAGTGTATCCATTATAATTTAATTATGTTCGTTTGAATTACAGAATAACGACAACCATCAAAGGGCAATTAAAATGAACACAGTGCTGACGAGAGTAACAGTGTTTCAAGCCAGTGATTACTCTGGCATCATTCCATTACCAGATGTTCAGAGATATTTGAATAGTGTCAGATACATCGAGGAGCTGCAGAAATTCCTTGAGGACGATCATTTCAAGTAATGAATTTGGTGTTTATTTATCAAAGATCTTGGGAACCGATAGCTCTAGAGAAAAATGTGAAGATATCTATCTGGCGGGGAAGAACATTTTATACACAAAATGTCGCCTGACACACTGTTAGAGCCACTCATTACCGTGATAATTTACTGATCAAAACTTGGGATAATTTACATCAGCTTAATATCAGAATTCTTTCGTGATGGGCCTCAGTGGCTTCTGAAAAATAACGAAAGATGGCTGTGAAATTAATTATTCAACTGAGGAATGTAGAGAAATTTTGTCGTTTTTCTTAGTATTTCTTTGATTAGTGAAGTTATTTTTTATATACGAGATTAATCCACGATCGATGATGTTGTAAAAATGCTAAATTCTTTGACGTTCCATACAACATCGTGTACAAAGAGCAGCTCCATTAATTAATTAAATATTAAAAACAACAATAAACTTCTCTACATTTATCCAATAATTTTTTCTACTAATTAATCAATATTATGTAAAAAATTGAGTTTGCCACTATCATTCCTTTTTATTCATCCCTATTTCATTTTACGTTAAAGTAGTACGAATAAACTCCAGTTGAGTCGTTGACTGTAAAGAGTAAAAATGAATTCAAAAAGCCAAGAAACAAATTATTAATTACTAAAAATTTTTCCCACGAATTTTAATTTTCATGAGTGTAAAAATTGATCCATTAAATTTACTCTTCAATTATTTTTTTACGCGATAGTCTCTCGTTTGTCTAGGGGTTTTTGACATAACATGCCATTGCGAGAATGCCGAAATAAATTATTTATTACAAGAGTTTAAAACTGGCGACAATTTTGATATTGAAAATAGAATTTTTATTCATTTTTTCAGATTTTTCGGGATTTTTTCTAGATTATGTGTTATTTTTGCCCTTCTAAATTAATTATTATCAATAATACGTGACTGTCGACCCAGCACAAACTCAACCAGAATGTTTCTATCCATATTAACTTTCAGTTGAGAATTCGTTTCGATTTTAATCTTTAAAATTCAAGTTATGTTTATACTACTTTAAAGTATCAGAAAACCTTTCTCGGAGGCAATGAAATTCTTCGTAAAAAATGTCTCTAATATTTTCTCTTACACCTACTAATTACCGATTATTAAATAACTAGCAATTGAGATCATTTACATCATCACAAATTGAGAATTGTTTCATAATTATCCAATTAAAGTTCGCACAATAATATTTCCTATATTTCCCTGAACGCACTCCTCCCTCGATATTAAAAAAACAATATCTCAATGCGTGACCTAATTAATCTACTTCGCAGCTTCAGTCCACCTTCAATGAACTAATTGATCCTTAATGAATTAATTTCAGACTATCGATGAAGCTCGAACCGAACTCCCCAGTGGCCTCATCGAGCAGCAGCAAAGAATCCGTGGGAGACGTAGCAACAGGCGTTGCAGCCTTGTCCCTGTCACCAGCTAGAGGTTGTGCGGGCTCCCTTCGCCTCCACGCAGCCTCAGCAGCCAACAAATTCGTACCAGGGCATCGAAAATGTCGGAGTTTAGGCACCAAGTGAGTAGCATCAATTAAAATGCAGTAAAAATCCCTCAAATTCCCACTGTTGATCTGTTATCTGGCTAAAATAATTATATTAATTAATTAATCAATTGATAATTGAATTTCGTGGATTAAGATTCATCGCTTGACAGAATTAATTTCTCGCTGTTGGAATTGATTTGATCGTTGATTTAGTTCACCCTTTCTTTCGCGAAAATCCACGATTTTAAAAAAATTTTATTGAGAGAAAAAGAAAAAGAAACAAATGGCTCTGTCAGGTTTCGTAGCACGAGCCTTCCACGCAACTTCCATAAACAAGGAGGGCGGTACGGAACTTATGGAACGTCTGGGTGAGTCCCAGGATCTCAATCAGGGATTTAACAATTTATCAGATTCAATTGGCTTATGGACCATATCATTTCGTTTATCATAATTTTAATAATTCAGTTTAATTTTATTAATTGTTACAATTTTAATGGCGCACCTTGGATTGAGGCATCGTGGAACCTAGAGTCTGCATGAAGTACATTTTTATTCACCCATTTTTGTTAATTATTTGGTTAGTGGTAATTGCTCAGTAGAGAAGGGGTAAAATGATTTGGGTTCAAACGGTATTCGCTTCAATTGACGAGAATGAGTTCACTTCTGATGTTTTTAAATAATCTTTTATGAATAGTTTTTTACCTGAACTGTTTTATCCAATCACTACTGATATCTGCGTCATGTTTTCATTTTATTTTGTTTTATAGAGCTGATACATCGACCATTGGCATGCGGTTTAGAATTAATTTTTATTCATATTCATAGGACTGTATGATTGGAAATTGTGTTAATTTTTCATTAGAAGATTTTAGAATGGAAAATGAGATGAATTGATGAATTCAATTTTAATTGGGGAATATTTTTTAATATTTTTTAACCTGTATAGAATGGGATAATTAGGTATGGGAAACTAATTCGTCTTATTTGTTCATTCCACCATCCAATGCTGTAACGAATTGGTATCGAATAAGAGACAAGTCCAAGGATTTTCCTCTGATTTTATATGTTCTCACCTCAGACGTATAAATATATCTAATGCTACTCGATTTATCGAAAAATGTGAAATGATTTTTTTGTAGAGAATTTCGAACAATTTGCAGTTTAATGACAAGTTTAAATTCCTCAATATTTAATGAAGAATTGATAATTATTCCTTAAACGCAAAATAATAACTAATTAATTCAGAGACAAAGTTCAGAGAAAAATGTTGAGAATTTTTTTTGGTAAACTATGGAATTCTCTACATGGGAAAATATTTCAACATTTCTGCCTAAATTCCTTGTTTAAAAAAATCTTCGCAAAACCATCAGTAAATTCACTCTGGACTCATCTGCTATTCTTCACCATTTCACTGAATTATTTTTCGTTAACCCATATATACAACTAAACGTAATCATGGCTGCATAATCGTATAGAACCAGCAACTGCATTGAACGTACAAATTCATCGAAGAGAACGAATTACGTAGAACAATTTGATGCTTGTCATCCAATTATGCATGGCAGAAATCATATCAGCGGGGCAGTAATCATTTATCAACGTTTTTAAAGTAGACAGTAGTGTCAAAGCCATTCTCAAATACTCTGGTTCAATTTCAGCATCTTTGGGAAAGCATCGGGGACGTCGTTGGAGCCTGGCCAAATAACAGTGCGTCATCTCCTGGACGATTCAGTTCTCGAAGAGCCTCATTTGGTGTCTCCAGTCGTTGACCTGGATCAGAATTCACCTGGAACTCCCACAGATGCTCTCAATGACGATTGCAGTTTGCTTTCTAGAACGAGGTAATTAACGATAACACGAGAAAAACAGAGGCTTTCGTGTTGAATGGGTACAGAAGTCATACAAAGGAAAATCTCTAGACATTCTTGAAATATGATCAACGCTCACTCTCGATTGCAATAAGTTTGAAGGAAATAAATGATCCCATATTATTATTTCAACTATTTTGGTATCGTTTCAAGACTACTTTCTTCTTTAAGGATATCCAAGTATCTTTTACAGTTTGATGTAGACCTTACTATAGAATTCAACCATTTTCAATCATCAAATTTGTCAATTAAATTGCGTGAGAAAAATTTGATAAAAATCGTGAATATTTATTCATTCATCTTGAATATTTAAACATTCGTTGTTTACAAATAAATAATTGAAATTGCTAAAATTTTCGGAAACCTTATTTTTTTAGGCATGAAATTGATTTCTGGTAAAATTCTGGATATGAATAAATTTGTTACAATTCCGAATAAATAATTTTTTATTGTTCGTTTGCCCCGTAGACGCTTACAATGTTTAACATAGTCTGGGGCCTCCAACGTTTCAGCTACAGAGGTTTTTTTTCCAAAATTTTTGAAAAAATCTGTACAATATCAATTACAAGCTAATTTTTTTAAATTTGACTCTTACACAGCTAATTTTGTCTTATTTTAATATAAAAAATTGCACCATTCATCTAAAATAGCCAGAAAAATATTTCTGAAAGAATCAAGACTATATTTTAATTATTTGGAGGATCATTTTTCTGGCTATTTTACATGAATGGTACAATTTGAAAAAAAACTAAATTAGCTGTGCAGGAGTCGAATTTGGAAAAACTCGACTCGTAATTAGTATTGTACACATTTTTGTAAAAATTTTGAAAAGAAACCTTTGTAGTTCAAAAATTGGAGGCCTTGGACTATTTTAAATATTTTAAGCATCTACGGGGCAAACGAACCTTAAACAATTATTTTTTTTGCACTAATTATTCATTTTTCAACGTATATAATCGATGTTCAATGTGTGAAAAATCTGACTGCAATAGCCCCCGACTTTTAAAACTTATAGTAGTCTCCCTTGAGCTATACGCATCAAAATACAACACATACAAAATAAAAAATAATGATAATGTCTTGTATCAAAATACAATACATTTGAAGTATCTACGGGGCAAACGAAGCTCGAACAATTAATTTTTTTTCACTGATTATTCATTTTTAAGCATATGTTATTGAACTTCAATGTGTGAAAAATCTGACTGCAATAGTCTCCGACTTTTAAAACTTATAGTAGGGGAGGGTGTGCCTGTACCGCCCACCTAAGGGGAAATGCCAGTTTTATATTTTATATTTCAACTTGAGTATAAAAAACGTATTTGTGAGACTTCTTTAACTATTGAACTCGTTATTCTCGAAGTGTAGACGCCTAATTCTCCTTAGAATCCACAAAATTGATTGAAAATAAAAGAGAGAGCCTATTGAGCGGTGCCGCTCATAGGATTTTGCATGTATCGCTCGCGCCGCAACCTATCCTGTATTCGAGTGCTGTCGTGCAACTACGTGGCCGATCCTATGAGCGGTATTACCCGCTCCGCTCGGCGTCAACAAAATTGTTGATAATTATTGACATGAGTGGAGTTTTGAGTTCGAATTGGTCTCAAATTACGCGTGAAAGTACCACGAATCGAATAACCACAGTTTAATATGAGAATTCAGCGTTTGAAACTATCAAAAACCTTAATTACAAGTCCACAAATTTTGCACTGTAAAGACCTCAAAACTTCGTTACGTGTTTTTTCATATTTAAAGTGGTAAATAAAGTGAAAATTTTCCGACAATCACATCTTATCATCAAATTCTTCATGATCAGGAACAGAAAGAAATTTTCAAGTTGATGGTTGTGGAGACCAGAAAATCGGGTGAGCGGTATTACCCGCTGAGCGGTACAGGCACACCCTCCCCTAGTCTCCCCTAAGGGGAAATGGAGGCCCTGCGTTCATATGAATCTTTAGAATTGTGTTTTCTCCTGCAATTATTATTTTTTATTCATTAAACTACTTCATTGACTCAACAATGCGATAATCGAGTCGATAAAGTAATTTCGTAGATAGAAATTAATAATTGTAGGAGAAAACACAATTCTAAAATACGATTAATAGCTACAACTCATCATCACCATCACATCTACTAACTCCCCTCAATTTTCTCATTTCCAGCACGTTACCGATCCTCCCCTGTACCGTGGACGGTATAATGGAGCCCCGTTGTTCGATGCAGGGGCTCCTACGTCGAAAAGTTGTCCTCAGAGACGGCAGAAAGCCTGCAGTATCGACGTGGCAGAGGTACTGGATCCAGCTCTGGGCCTCCTCGATAGTCTACTTCTCCCCCAAATGCTTCAAGGGCTCGGACAGATCCGACTTCAAACGCGAGCCCTACAAAATGGTCTCAATACTCGGATGGGTTATTGAGTCCTCGGACAGTATGTTCCATCGAGATACTTTCCTCCTCACTGATCCCAACAAGGGCAACGTCTACAAGTTCCGAGCTGGGTCTGGTGACTTTGCTGATCAGTGGGTCAAGGAACTACGTGCCACAGTGCGAGGCGGTGTCGAGAGGAAGCCAATACCTGCTAATCTCATGTCCTTCGAGTAAACTGGATCGCTCGTCGGTAATTTATCACGCGTTGCTTTTCACTCACGTATGAAATTACTTATCACTCAATGGTAGAGGAAACTGGATTTAAAAATTGCCAATTGCCAATTTTCATAATGGCCAAAAACGAAAGGCTTTGATATTAATGCTCATTGCGGTTCCATGCGCTTGGTTGCAAAGAAGACAAGTTGTCAGGGTCATTAATTTTTTCATCTTGTTTCTCTATTTATTCACATTTTGGAGGGAAATGGCGAAGAACAGGAGAGATGTGTTCAAATGAAAAATTTTAATTGCAGTCTGTCCATGAAACTCTGAATGAATTGACAGATTATGAGGTATAAAGTTAAGGAAAACAATTTTTTGTGCTAATGGACCTCTCATTTATGGACTGTGATTCGAAAATAAAATGCCCGTTTTCGTAATGTTAAAAATGAAAGGCTTTGGTCTTAATGCTCATTGCGGTTCCATGGGCTTGGTTGCAGAGAAGACAAGTTGTCAGGGTCGTTAATTTTTTCATCTTGTTGCTCTATTTATTTACATTTTGGAGGGAAATGGCGAAGAACAGGAGAGACGTGTTTACGTGAAAAATTTTTATTTCAAACATCTTTTAGTTGAGTTTTGAAAATATATCGGCAGACAGTGGTTGACAGTCCATCCATGGAACTCTGAATAAATAGACAGATTATAGGGTGTAAAATAGAGGATAACAAGGTTTTGGTATGCAATAAATCTTTCATTCAATCACGACTATTCCATTCATGAGCTGTGATCTATGAATGATATGTCTGTTTTCATAATGGCAAAAAACCAAAAGCTTTGATATTAGCAGAGAAGACAAATTGTCAAGGCAAGTCGTTAATTTTCTCATCTTGTTTCTCTATTTATTAATATTTAAATTTGGGAGGGAAATGGCGAAGAACAGGAGAGACGTGTTTACATGAAGAATTTTTATTTCAAAGATCTTTCAGTTGAGTTTCGAAAATATATCGGCATACAGTGGTTGACAGTTCATCCATGGAACTCTGAATAAATAGACAGATTGTAAGGTGTAAAATTGAGGATAACAAGAACAAAGTTTTTGTGTTCACAATAGATCTTTCATTCAATGACTTGAGACTATTTCATTTATGTCTGTTTTCATAATGTTCAATAACGAAAAGCCTTGTTAATTCTCATTATGGTTCCACGGGCTTGATAGGAGACAAAACAAGTTGTCACGTCAAGTCGTTATTTTTCCATCTTGTTTCTCTATTTATTTAAATTTTGTAGGGAAATTGCAAAGATCAGGAGAGAGGTATTTACATGAAAAATTTCAATTTTAAGGGTCTTTTCGTTAAGTTTTGAATATATATTCGCTGATAATGATAAACAGTCTATCCGTGGAATACTGAAGGCATTCAATAAGTTTATGGACTAAGAAATAATTAATTAGATTACGAATTTGGAGAAGTAAATCTGTAGTGAATTGGTAAACTAGGATAAGTGCATTTCAACTGAGGACAGTTATCAAGCGATATCTCGTAAATAAAAATAGATATCGAAATTTTTATTAGAACCTTTTTTGTAGAGGGAGATGTGGGCTACAAAAAAGTTTCCGACAAAAATTTCGATATCTGTTTTTATTTACGAGATATTGCTTGATAATTGTCCTCAGTTGAAATGCACTTATCCTAGTTTACCAATTCACTACAGAAATATATACGATTCTACTTGTCATCGATTTTGGTATAAAAACAGAATTGAAAGATTATTAGAAACCAATGGAAATACTGAAGATGATGACTTGAAAGATTATGAAGTAGAAATTTGAAAAAATAGTATATTTCGTAACGAGTGCAAAAAAGTGTTTTTTGGTGAGTGGGAGGTTTATATCACGAGCCGAAGGCGAGCCTTCGGCTCGTGATATAATCCCACGAGCTAAAAAACTTTTTTTCACGAGTTACGAACAATATTTTTCATCACAATGTGGCGGAAATTGGACTTTTCGTCACAGCGTGATGAAAAAACAATTTTTTTCCTCAGCTTTCGAAAATTCGAAAATATATCACTGTGAAAATTTGGTTATTTGGCTCAAATTGGCTTAGCATCAAAGAGAGTATTTTAATATTTTCCTTAAATACGCGTCTCTTGGAAGACATTTGAAATGACTCTAGAAAACGACGTTAAATGATGAAAAGTTATTTCACATCAATTCTAGTCAAGTCTATTTTCCTTAGATTTGAAGATGTTCAGAAAAAATCTTTGTGCAGTTGATTTTATAAATGATCAATTGAACTAGCAGGCTCACACAAAAACATGAATCGTTCTTCGTTCTCCTTTAAATTTTCTACGAAAAATATGTCTATCATTTTTCTCTGAATCTGCCAGTTCTAGAGATGTGGAAAATACTTCACAAATCATTTTGAACACATGTTCTCGCGCCATTTCTCTACTTAATTTTCATATTTTTGTTTCCCACTGCCAATTTTGTTGGAAATTACTTAAAACCGTGAACATACTGTTTTTTTATTTTTTTTAATTTAAAAAGTTTTTTTTTCTATCATGATTGTGAGGAGAAAATGCAGGTGAGGCTTCGATGGAGCTATTTAAAGTTATTATTTAGTTAGACATTAGTATTGACTTATTTGCTCTCTAAAATTTACTAGTGAACTAGTACACCACGATAGGGTGACTATTATTTATCACTCCGTTATGAATAATTTTAAAAGACTCGTCTCGACGAGAATCCTACGCTTACATATCTCGATATTATTTATAATTAAAAATGAATACATAAACGGTGAATCGTGATGGAAATTTGGGGGAGAAACTACCGAGTCCATCAATAATCATTGAGTTGTCACTCGGCGTATGTCTGAGACTGTCAATTATATTTCCATGGCGTGTGAACAAAATAGTTGATTAACTGAATACAAGACTAAATTTTTAAGGTGAAAATGGTTAATTCCTCAACGAATTAAGTAACAACTCATTTTGACGATATTGTCTATTATTGAGAGGGGTAATTAATCAACAGAATGACTATTCTAAATGGAGTGATTTTTAGTGTTTGGATTATTTGCTGAATTAAAGGGTCATTGTTGATAATTTATTCAGAAAAATTATTTATTCTGATTGAATTCAATTTTCAATTTATTGAATTTTCGGTGTCGACAAAATTCTAATTGAAATTGAGGGAATTATTTTGCAAACAAGAATTTATTGAAAGCAGATCATTCGAACAGACGAATCTGGAAGGTTCATACAAATTATTTTACGAATATCTTGGATATAGCTCTTTACAACGTTCATTCAATGAAATAGTTCTCAGAATGTAAGCAATTCAATTTTAAGGGACATCTTCATGGAAAAAGCCTCTTGGTTAATTTTCATGGTTTTATGTTTTATTTTCTTGTTTTTTTTTTTTCATTTTAAATCTTCGATTAAAATGAAGAAATTCTCTATGAAACAGTGGAATTATGCATCTTGCGACAAATATGTGATTTGTTTTTGCTTATATCACTACAATTATTAGATCTACAACGAAAGATTATGAAACCACTTTCGACACCACAGAATTCTTTTTTAAAAGTCTCTTAAAATGTATCTAGAGCTACATTCCTTAGATATTCGTGGGTTGATCCTTATATTACTTTTCAGATCGTCTCCTTTCACTATTCCATTAGTCAAAGACGTTTTTTGTGTATATTTCATCGAATAAATAATTTATTTTGAATGAAAATTCCTCTCGACTCAAAATTCCGAGGGCCATCGTACAAAATTATTGACCGACTAGACGTTACCAAAGTACTCAGTTTTTACTTTTTTTTAGAACAAATGTGAATTAAAATAACGATAATGTAAAATATGAATCGAAATGCGTCATCGCTGTGTAGCTTGCCTTTTTAAATCGGCATATCATTAGGCGTAATTGTGAGCAACGGTGAATTCGTTGAGCACATCATGACAATTATTAATGTCTCGTTGTATCATTTTTCATTGGTATCGATCGGAAATGATCAGAAAGAAATCAAAATGTTTATTTTAAATTGAAAAGTTCATTGGTCTTTTCATTTGAGATTTATTTCTCTTCGATATGAATGTTTGATAGTCTGATATATTTAACGCCTATTAGGAATGTTATTTCTTTGTTTATTCTGTTGCATTCTGTAGCGAAGTGGTAAAGAACAGAAAGACCTCCGAGAGTAATGGGTTTGGAGAACAATTTCAAGAGCCATTTTTCGGGGGGAATTCAATGGCCACAAAAGAAATAGTTGACGTGATTCTCTGACATACTTTATGGCAAAAATATTTGTGAAAAAACAATCTGCACATCAATTTCTAAATTTATGGGGCAGTTATTCCTGTAGCGAGAGTAAAACTTGTCAAAACACACACATGAAGTTTAGTAATCATATTGGAGACAGATTTCTCACCAATTATTATCAGAATTTTGACAGAAATCACAGTATTTTGAATAAAAATTCCAGTATTTTTGTAATAATTCTCCCTAAAATTTTGGAATTCCCTCAAAGTTTTGAAATTTTGTTGACAATGCTTCGAAGGCCAATACCATTGTTAAAATTCAAATGTCAACAGATTATTTAGAATTTCGTAGGATTGAATGCAAATGGAGAGATATTTCCGTTAAAGTCTATCGAAATTTTCTCGTCAACATCATCACAAATGTTTTTTGGAACTGTTATACAATCTCTTCTCCTTCGAAAATATTCAAAAAGATGCCTTGAATTTTTTTTCCACACCCCCTTCATCTCACGATAATCGCAACATGAATTAGCGAGAAAATTCTCGTCTTGTCCTTTACCACTTTAAACAGAATCAATATCCCCTTCTGTCAATGTTAATATTTCGAATAATTTATAAGTCTCGATAATTTGGGAGTACGTGTGCGTGATACCGCCACGTGTCTCCCTCAAACTACTCATTACATATCATTTTACATAAGAGAAACGAAAATGAATGTAAATCATGTTGGAACCACCGAAAATTCATTGACCACGAGAACTCATTGTGACTGAACGAATCTGTTTTCATAAAGGAAAATAAATTGTGCGACTGATTGACTAAACTAGGAACTAGAAAACTGACTTTTCTTAAATTTCTTGGTGATGATGCCAAAATCCGTGGAGACTAATTCTTTAATCCCCATTTTCATTTGGAGAAACTGAAGTCGCTGGTGATAAAAATCGATGGAAATAATTGATACATATTTTGTAATAAATTACTTCGGAATGTTTGTGGTGATAAGATAAACCACAGGGTGTTTTGTTTATTCAAAAGTTTTCGAGTCACACAACAATAATTGAGCAACACGACTCATTATACAGGAGCTACTCTCATGGTTTCGATTATTTTCTATTGATTTTTATCAGCGTCGGGTGAAATTCTGTGGAGAAGGGAAGGAACGAGATGTCAAAATAGTATGTTTCGTGATACCTGTCTGAAATGTGCACTTTTCGAAACGGTTTAGTGTGCATAAAGTGAAACTTTACGCGCGTGATTTCTCGCAAAAAAAAAAACACTTTTTCTGTACTGATCTTCACTTTTCCCAGTCCGGGGATTGGTATTGACCCTTCCCCGAACTGGGAAAAGTGAAAGTCACTACGGAATAATATTGTTCGCGCCTAGTGCCACAGGGGTTTTCGACGAGTGTGATTGGCACGCCGAGCCGAAGGTGAGGCGTGCCAACCTCACTTTCGTGAAAAACCCCAGTGACACTCGACGCGAAATATACTATATCCCTACTACCGCTGCGAACAGTGAACTCGGCAGGTATTACAAAAAATAGGATGTCTTACATGCGCGTGCGAAAAAGTGGAACTTCACGCACTAGTAACACAATAGTATATTTCGTAACGAGTGCAAAGAAGTGTTTTTTGGCGAGTGGGAGGTTTATATAACGAGCCGAAGGCGAGTGATATAATCCTACGAGCTAAAAAACATTTTTTCACGAGTTACGAACAATATTTTTCATCACAATGTGGCGGAAATTAAAAGTTCACTTTTCGTCACAACGTGATGAAATAGTATATTTCGATACGAGTGCGTAGGGTAAGCTACCCAGTAGATGGACACTGTCCTATAGATGGACGAGCTACTTTTGGATAAGAAATTATGCAAAAAAATGTTGAAATGTGAATTGTTGCTTTGAATTTTCACTATCTGTTGTGATTCTTAACCCCCGAATCGCGATTTTTTTTCGATCAATTTTGTTTTCAATTGCTAAAAAACAAACGTCCATCTACTGGGCGGTTTTCTTAGGCGTCCATCTACTGGGCAGTTTACCCTACAAGTGCTTTTTGACCCGTCGGATATGTGTAGGCGAGTGCTACCTTCCTAAGGATTAAAGAATCCTGTCCCACGAGTATCTAATCTTATTTTTTTTAATTTCACTTTACATACAAGTGATGAAACATTCTATTTAGAAAATATCTCCGAAACTGAAGGGTTTAACCGCTCACGTACGGCGTCGATGTCATGCATCGAATCATGAAAATATGAATGACTATGTTTCTTTAAAATTGATTATTTCCAAAACTATGGAATTTAACTCAACCAAACAAATAGCAACGAAAAAAGGAATACTGTAGCTTCAATTCAGTAGCGAAGTGGTAAAACGGTCCAAGTCGATTTTGACTATTGTCCATTTTTCAGTGAATATGTCGGAATCTAAGGGAGATAGCTAAATTTTTGTCAAGACCTTTTTTGTAGCACTCAATTTGCTCTAGAAAAAAGGTTATTACGAAAATTTCGTTATCTCCTTTAGATTCGGAGATATTTTTCAAAAACTCAACTAAGAGATAAGTCGACTTAAACCGTTTTACCACTTCACTACTGAATTACATATCGGTTTCATTATTTTCCGTTGATTAGAAGTCGTTACATTCTAGTTGTATGGAGCGTACTTCACGCTTGGAAAGGACCCCGTCCGTGAGGGGTTAATGAGGAATCTCAAAAGACATTTTTTGTAGGTGATGACATTTTTAACGAAAAAGATCTTTCAACATTCTTTTAATCTCATTGATAACCAATATAATTGAACAATTGGTCTAAAATCAAGCAAAACATTTTCTCCATTCAACGAAAAAATGGAGGATTTTTTGGATGGAACTCTAGTCTTCACAAGAAATGTCTTCAAGTCTGATAATTTCAGAGATATTTGCAAAATGAGAAAATTTTTAGTCTCATACTTTTCGACTCCTCTAATAAATTTCAAAGGTTCTCCTGACTCGCCTAATATACATTTCGCTGAATAAATAGATGAATGGTAATAAACATCACTGATCGATATCTCTCGCTGGTTGTGAAGTCATCCATTGTAAGTGTCCATAGAATTAGAATTGCGAGCTTTCTTGTACCACGGAGACACTTTTTTCAACTGATGAGAGTGAACGTAATTAGAAAATAGATACAAGTGACAGAATTTCAAGAGTGAAACAGAGCAAGTCTACGTGGCACCTATGCAATGTCCAATTATCGAATTGTGTCATTAATGAGGGATTTTAGGCGAAAATATCAGGAAATTTTTGTTTCTCATCCTTTCATTCCTCTCTGAGAAGATTCAATACTTAAATTAGAATAAATTATCTGAGTAACGAGTGCTCTTGATAGAAAATTTCAATGGATTTTGTTTCCCAAATTTTCTTATAGATTTCCTTATTTAGGAGACAATTCCATAATTAACGAATAATTCTGATTTTTCGTCAGCCGAAATCGTTCAAATTTTCCACAATAAAATTACCTCAGAGAGAATTATTTTCGATAGAAACGTGAAAAGAAATTTTTCGCTGCGGATTTTTTCACCTTTTGAAAAAGTCTTTTGACATTTCACTCTAAATTCATTTGCTCCTGACATAATTGAATAGTTTGGTATTGATGGGAGATTTCACATTTGACTTGACCTTTTCCACTCGCATAGTGTATGAATAATTGATTAATAACGAAAAAGGATAATGAATTAGCAAAAGCTTAGCAGATTATGTAACAGTGAAAAATAATTATCGAATATTCCACACTGAATGTTTGTAAATCACTTTATTTTTATAAACAGAATAAAATATGAAAGCAAGTGTCCACTAGAGGTACGTGATTATTGTCACGTATCGGAATGTCTAGAAATATTTAGGTTCGATCGACGAATAATAAAAATAAAAATAGAAAACAGTAAACAACAATAAAATAGTTACGAAAGAAATAGACGAATAGACTCAATAAACGATTGTGCTAACTGTTCCATTGTGTTGATTAACGTATAGATTATTTACGTTGCAAAGTGCAGATAAAGTTTTTTTTGCAAAAAAATGTGACTTCTGTCTTGTTATTTCCTTAATCACTTCAATCGAAAAACGATATAATGAGCGAACTCGAAAATTGATTTGTGTTTTGTCGTGGAAATACAGGGTGACATCAGCATTTGGTTTATAAATTTCAGGCAGATATAGAATCGAAAATTGGGAATTCAATGAGACAACAATTACTAAATTCCGATAATAGACTTTCAAATGGTGAACGTTAGAATTTTTCAATACTTCAGCCAATTACATTGCGATTGACTACCGTCATGATTGGAAATGATGCCGCAGTTGTCAATGGGACTCGATATGATAGTTAATATCGCTCTTCATGTTGATAAAATTATCGGTTTATGGTTGCAATGAAGCTCAAACTAGCGTACAATAGTTGCTCCAACTAGTGTGCTAATGTCATCGGAGTAAATATCGCCATAATTGTCGTACCATCGCCATTTACAATCATGACGGCATGGGGGGAGACGGCCACGATGTTATTGAGTAGATCATTGAACAATTCTAACGCTCACTATTCAAAAATTTCTTATCGTAATTTCATAATTCTTATGCTATCGAATTACTGATTTTCCATTCTATATTTTCTTACAATTTGTAAACAAGTTGCTAACGTCACCCTTTAAGCAACGTAGGAACTTCTGAAAAATTCTAGAGCATTCTCGATGAAACCCCTTAACAACTCAACTACGTGTTTGAAATTCAAACAAATTTTCATTCTATTCAGACGTTTTTTGGTGTCTGAAAAATGTCTACAAAAGATGTGTGAAACTAAGACATTTGTTTTTGCTGTGCTGGACCTGAAAACCGACCGAAACGAGGTTCAAATCGCGGTTTATCGAACCTGGTGTCATCAATTTTTTTTACGTTTTCCTTTGAATTTTTTATTTCTGACGAGCGTTAAATAACGTTTATATGAATTTTTAATCCATCTCCCGTTCTTATCACATGATTGCATATTCTCAGAAGGGACAGCATAATCCACCGATGTCGTCGAGCTCAATGCACGATCCATTGTCCAGACACACCTGTCGATAGACAATCAGTTGACGAAGATCCGACTGGCTGAGTTTAAATTGAGATTTGACCCAGACGTACAAATTCGTGGTAAAATTTTCAGGTACCGGCAATTTCTGAAATATTCACAGTCATTCGTCTCATCATTGGAATTTCAGTAATGAAAGAGGTTGGTTGAAAATTAATTATTTGCTATTATTAACCTGAAATTTGTCGACTAATTCCTCGGAAATTCCGAGGGCGTCGGGAAAACGAATGTCTGGTAAGCGCTGGATGTGGGTTTCATTTTTTTGGTAGCCGTCGCCCAGGGAAAATGTGAGAAAATCTTTTCTCTCTGGAAAAAAAATCAATACGAATGAATTATCAAAGTGATTTGATAGCAAAGTGGTGGGAACGGGAAACAGACGTCCTCGAAATGGAATTTGAAACGGGTAGTTTTATTGAAAAGTGTCCAACTGCATTTTTCATTAACAAACCGATTTTTTAATAAACATTAATAAACATTTTGTTATTGATTCATACCCATGATTTCTTACTTTTTTTCGAAACCCGTAAACTCAACGGGTATATCAAAAAACTTTTTGGTATGAAATTTCAATCTTCTCATATTTTTGGCTAAACCTATTACGAAAATCATGACCGCAATTCCACTTGTTGCTTCCGAATGGAAGCTTTGTAATCGTTCAAATTCAAGTTTAGGATTTTTTGTGTTATATCGACACAGTATGATCCAAAAAGTCCGAAAATGCAATTTTTAGATCACTTCCATACGTGTGCGTATGTGTGTACGTATGTAAAGATGTTTTTCTTCAATTGTTCCCTAATGAATGGATGGAACTGAATCTTTTTTTTCATCACACTGCCCGTCAAACGCCGCTTACGGACATTGTGACGAAATTGTATATTTCGATGCGAGTGAGACAGAATTTTTACGAGTGTGAAGTCGCGTCGCCTCGGGCCGCCAATCACACGAGTTGAAAAGCCCGTTTCACATGTGTCGAATAATATTTTTTGATAGTGATGATTTTCAAAATTTCCCTGAATGTGAGCTTTCTGACGGTTTCTTTAAATGTGATGTATCAAATACATTCAAGTATGTATAAATAAAAATTTTCTGTCAACATTTTATCCAAGGGCTGAAGGGAGAGATAGAACCGTAAAAAAGACAATCGGTTGTATAGAAGAAAGGGCCAATAAGAATAATGGTGATGATACCATTCAACTAAGTTGAAAATCTGACAAAATGAAATTAAAAAAAAATCTTATTCAATCTAATAAAATAAAATAAATAATGAATTATACATGATAGATGAAAATGATGTGCAAAAGAACCATTCGGAAACATATTTCAGTAGTGAAGTGGTCAATCGGTTTAAGTCGACTTCGCTCCCAGTTGAGTTTTTCTTGAATAACTCGAAATTTAAGAAAGATAGCGAAATTTTAGTGAAATATTTTCTTCACTTTTCTTTTCAAACAAGATTTTTAGGAAAATTTGGCTAACTCCTTTAGAATTTGAGATATTCATCGAGAACTGGCGCTAGACTGGAATTGACTAAACCGTTTGACCACTTCACTACTGATTTCGAATTTATTATCGAAAATAACTGTATTATAATGCTAAAATAACTGTGCTATGTGTTCTGCAATACAAGAGCAATTCCCCACTTGCGATTCGGTAAAATGAATCCATATGAGTGAAAATGAAACATACCATTTTCTGGTAGGGAAAGAAACACTCGTTGTCCGGGTGGTATTTCAGGCGCTGAGGAATGCACCGCAATTACCAGCAAAATATTCAGAACAATCACTCGAACCTTCATGTTCAGTCCTCACAAATTCAAACGATCGTTGGAAATGACGTAATAAAATAACTAATGTCAGTTTCTCTTTGCCCTGGAATACCTTCAACGCGGAGAAAGCACCAACTGAATTGGACTCTTAACACCTTTTGAAAATAGTCTCGTACCCTTGAAGTTCTCACGGTATCAGTAACCACCATGTATTAACGCGATTACCCACTCATCGGAATTTTAATCCCCTTCGACAATATCAAACGGATTGATTGATCGTGAGTACCATTCTTCGTCTTTATAAACTCTCGACTACATCACACGTGCTGATGAATGTTCATAATTGGAACCGAGATTGGCTTCACGTCCTCGTTTGATAAACGTCCAATTCTGCGGTTTTAAGCTTCCGGGAAACTCCTACGCTCAAAATACTTCCAAAAACTAATCATTCGTCATGATGAATGTGCATTAGTAATTGTATGTAATATCTCAAAAATCAACGATTTGTAGCAAAAATTTTAAGATACATTTTTTGTGAGATATTACAGTAGTTTCAGAAAACAATGGTGATTTTTTTTGTAAAACCACTCGTTATTGAGATAATTTTATAATTGAGAACGAGGTCACACGTAGAAAAAAAATTAATAGACAAACCTAGTGCTTTCTCTGAGAAATTTTATGGAATTTCCATTAGAACTTTGTTGGAATAACACTGAGAGAAAAATATGATTCTTCTGACTATATTCCACCACCATCGAACTATAGTCAAAAAGTCCTCAACAATTTTGCATGGGTTACGGTAACTATGGCCGGAGAAGTGATTATTACAATGGAATGTATTCATTGCAACTATTTCATAGTTCTACTCACGATAGATTTGTCGTAGTTACTTTTGAACTTTGGTTAGTTTACCTGCATTTTGATTTGCAAAAATTACGCTTGTGAAGTTACTATAATGTTATGTGCCGCATACAAAAAAAAATCGTATCGTTCACCGAAACTGCCTCAACTATAATCCACCTACTAGAAGACTCTAAAGATAGAAATAAAAATAGAAGGTAATGTGTAAATCATACTGAATCCAATGGCCAGAGAAAAATCTGGGGTTCCCGGGCAGAAAGAGGAAATATTTGAATTATTCTATCCCATATAAGTGTACGTTAGCGCGTGCATTTGGTGCATTTTGTCTATTTCGTTTCTAAATAATGAACATGGGTTGGTGGATGGAAATTTGTATCAAAGTGAAGGGATTATCTTCATCTCTCAGTTTTAAAAAAATCAATTGTTTAAGTACTTGCGATTTTGGATAAGCATCCTTAAGGGTGCCAAGTGAATTTGGCGATGACCTTGAAAATTGACATTCACCAACAAAGTTATAATTTTTTTAATTAATAGTATTAGACAGATGGTGAACATCGATGACAATTTTAAAATTTTAGAACTTATGGATATCGAGAAATTAAATAAACAAAATCAGTCTTATACACGGCCTCTTATGGAGTTTTGATTAAATTGAACGTTTCAGCCCCCTAGGAACTCAAGAAAAATTTGAAAAAATTTGAAGATATGGGGAATGATGTGTTCAATGTGATGGCGACAAAAAACAATGGGATACCGGGGTGAATAAGAGAGATATTTCAACCCGCCGTACCCATTTGATCCCATGCTTTCTCGAGGTTCGTCACGCGAAATAGAGGATTTTCCGCATTTATTTTCTCGATGTCTAGTTCCGGTTGCGGGTTTGAAATTTCGTCGGATGGATGAATACATATTTCTCCAATGATGGAGGGAAAGAAAAATTTTTTTTGTCATTCCGGCCGTGAGGCAGCGCTTCACGGACTCTCCGCTCCGCGTCCGTGAATCTCTGCCTACGGCCATCATAACAAAATAGTATATTTCGTCACTAGGCCGAAAGAAACTTTTCTGGCGAATATGAGTTTGCAGCCCGAGCCGAAGGCGAGGGCTGCAATCATATGAGCTAGAAAAGTTTTTTTCGGCCTAGTGACGAAATATACTATTTTTGAATCTTTTTTCAAATTCATCCTTGGCATCCTTAAATACCGGATAATCTCTCAAACTATAGGGTTTATGAAAAAATATCAAAAAGTCTTATTTGTGAGAATTTTCTTCGGCAGAAAAGAAGGTTTTATGATACTCATCTCTAATTCCCCCAGTTTTTAAGATATTTGCAAAAGAATCTGACTAAAATCATCGAATTTATCATTTACACTTAACCACCACTTGATTACAAAAATGTTGTTGTCATCTCGGGCTTAACGTCTAAATCCCTCGGTATCTGGGGTCATAAATAATGATAAAGCTCCCAAAGAAAAAAATTTGCCACCTAGAAGATCCGTTCCGAAGTACAGTAGAGACGTAATAAAGATAAGAAACGTTTAAAATTGAATTTCGATTCTCAATGGAATCTTTCATGATTTTTTTTTGCTGTCTGCGGCTCGAGCAATCAAATGTTTGACCACCAATTAATCGTGGCCCTGGGCACACCGTTGAGCCCGGGATTTGCCCTTTATTTCCACCGCAGTCACCCCCTTTCCTCAAAGTACACCCAACATTGGTAATAATTAACGAAAGCGTGAGATAGTGGGCGCCTTCCTCCGGTGTAACCGAACCTGGAGGCACTTGCCAAGCTTTGGACAACGAGAATTCCGGGGATAGTGATAGATCCTGACCATAAGAAACATATTACTAGATTTCACCGTTATTCAAGGGGAAAATTTATTATTCAATGTTGTACATTTTGGGATAGATGGATAGGGGAGGAAAATTAATGCAATTTATTATTGAATTATATTGGGAAACGAATTATTCAGGTGGAGATAATTGTAGTGAACTTTATTGGCTGATTAATTATTTTTTAGTCGTTTTTTCGGGTGAGGATTAAGTTTTCAGTGGAGGGTGATTTATTCAGTCGACGGAAATTATGATTGGGGAGGGTAATTATTGTTTGTGGTGAGTTATTGGGATCCCGGTACGTTGAGAAGCCTAAACTCGAACATTTCCCTGAGAAAAATGAAAAGTCGTGGGCCCCAAGACTTTTCGGTACTTCGTGCGCGGAATGTTCAAAGTCTCCCGACGGAAGACTACGTTACGTGAACAATTAGGCGATCAATATACATTCCGATATTATCCCGGGTGAATTTTCTTTTATTCAATTATTTAAGGTCACTGTATGACAACTCAGGTCTTCAGCGACTTGGTGAAAATGTACGAATTATTACAAAAAGGATTTTTGTTATTCTATTCAAATTTGAAATCAGTGTAAGATTATGAAAAAAAAAATATAACGTTGAAAGGCAATGTCTTTGAAATGGTACGGTACAATCCTGTTTTTATTTTAAGAATTGAATTGTTCTGTTACATGTTTCTTGAGTGTTCAGCATCTCCTCTAATTCTTCATGGAGAAATTTTCTAGAAAAATTCTAGTACGAGTCCTGGAAAAAATTAAAATCCAGCGGCTGTGAAAAATTCTAGTGCTGTTAAGGTAAAATTTCATGGTATTTCTGGTAAATTTTCCGGGGATTTCTGTGAAATTTTCACAGAAATACCGGGAAAAATTCACGTTTTTCCCAATAAAATTTCTAGTGCCGGCACTGGAATTTTTTCCTGGTCGTCACTTTGCACCTCTTTTCCCGTGCTAGTACTAGAATTTTTCTAAAAAATTTCTCTCCGTGTGCAAATCTAAATACGTTGAGAAATTCTCGGGTTAATCCTGCGCAAAAATTTGGAATTCCATTGAATTTTCTAATGTAATACCACAAGAGCTTCAACATTATCAGGTATTTTCCAACAGGTCCGTTGCAAACAAACGAAGGAGTCCAGTTTTTCAAAAACTTGACGAGTTAGTTTGTATGTAGGGAACCTTGAGGAAAATACCTGATTAATTTTGAAGCTCGAGTGGTATTCGAAAATTCTATATTTCAGGCTGTCATGGGGTTTTTTATTCGCGTGGAGTTGGCGTCTGAGCCGAAAGCGAGGAATTAAAATTATTTTTAGTTCTGAGAGAACTCAGAAAAATCAGAAAAATTCCGGGAAAAATTGAAATTTCATGCCATTTTGTTTCTGAATATTCATGTTTCACTGAAAATTCAATCAAGTTGTGAAATTTTCATCTCACTTCCACTTAAAACTCATGAAGTGGAGTTGGCGTCCGAGCCGAACGCGAGGAATTAAAATTACCTTTAGTTCTGTGAAAATTCACAAAAATCAGAAAAATTCAGGGAAAAATGAAAATTCCATGTTATTTTGTTTCAGAATATTCATGTTCCACTGAAAATTCAATCAAGTTGTGAAATTTTCATCTCACTTCCACTTAAAACTCATGAATTTCCTTGAATTCCACCTGAAACTAGAAATTTCGTAACCATTTGTCCTTTAAATCCGACTCAACGTCTTTCTTGTGAGAATTACTGTTATATTTTCCATGAAATTTCAAAAAGTTCTAACAGTGTACTGATACCAAGTCGGATTCGTCGACTTGATTTATAATTTATCATCTTTTGGTGAAGCTGTGACAAAACATTGTCCAACATTTTCACCCACAACTACTCAACACGAGGTAATTGCATAATCAATGCTGACATTTGATGAAAAATCCTCGTGTAATCTGTTCTATTCCCCGAAAAATCCATTTCATGATTCAACTCTTTACTCAGATTTAACTGTTGTACTAATCCTTGCAATTCCGTATATGCTGTTCGGGTTTGCATGCAACCACGACACACATTGGATAACATCGTGTGTGCGAAGGCTCGGGCATGATTGTTTGCGGAGCCGTTACCTAGGATACGACACCGACAGCGCTAGCTTGTTGGTCTAGTTCCATGTGCCAATCCCCCTTTTTACTTTTAGTCTCTCCCTCGATGGTAAACTCCTCTTTCCTCTTATCCAACCAAACTATATCCCGGGGAAACTACTGGTCAGCTCATCTTCGACCCTCTCTGTTCGCTTCGGAGGCAAATTAATCGAGTTACGATCGAATTTACTGGCAACTTCGGAGCATTCGTGGATACCCACAGAAATTGAGAGGATAAAAATTGGATGAAAGCGAAGGGAGAAGTTCACATGTGAGATTTTTAAAAATTGAAATTGTCGGGTTCGTTTAAATGATTCAAATTCATTGACTCATGAATAACTACATAACAAAAAATAATGGCTTATTTTACGATTTCAAAGGTCTTAAAATAAGATTTTCAAAAGTCTTAATTCGAAGCCTGAATCTCGTATGTTCGGACTTTGGAAGGTCTTCAGGTTTACACGCACGAAAAAATTT